AGGAAAGGTTACCAAAATGGGAAACCTAGGCTTAACTTTCCTACTTCAAGTAGGAATCCTTGTTGGAGTAGGAATCCATCTTCAATTATGAATTCACATTTCTTCAAGTCTTCAACTCATTCATTCCTCTTTTGCTCCAAAAGACTCCAATTTGCATCTTCTTGCACACTTTGGCTTTATACTCTGAAAACACACAAAAATGACTTTAAACACTAAAATAACTAAGGAAACACAACATAAATACACGAGAACAAGCCAGTTAAGTCGCATAAATATGCTCCTATCAGTAGTAGGTCGAGATCTTGCAAAGAACACAATCTGTAAGGTTAAACAAATCGTTTTGTAGTTTCTTTGGTTTGCTAATAAATTAAAAACAAATACTAACTAAATATTGTAGTACCAAATAAAGTATATTGGGGAAAAATAAATCAATAAAACCGATCAAGTCCAATTTAGGGGGACAAGAAAAAAAATCACGAGGCCAAGATTATGAATATTAAGAGAAGTTCACCTTGTAATAGAATGAGAGTGTTTGACAAATTGCTAAGTGAGATTTTGAAGTATTCGGTAATGTCTTTGTGTGCACTGTTGTCGGTATCTACTGACCAACTTTCTTGAGTGAGTCGATATCTGTTGAGAGACTCGATCGAAAGTTGTTGTCATATAATGATAACCGTGCAATATTGCTCAGAATAAGGCTACAACACACTAATTATTCAACAAAATACCACACTAAAAATGTGTGTTGTTCTCGTCCAAAAAATTTGTGAGCGAGCTATTTCTTCATTGACTCCCCCAAGAATTTTTCTTGGATCCACCACTGTTTGGAATGGACTACCTACATATCCTTGGAAGAGAACCAAACCGTGTGTTTTTCAGATTACCTCTTTTTTGTATATGCATAATTTGTTCCCCAAGAAACTTTGCAGTCATACTTTGTTTTCCTCAATCCCAATCTGAGGTTTGAAATGATCATCACTTGCTCTGTTGATAATTACTGATGTAAAGCGCACGGTTGCATAAGGAAGTGGAATTCTAGTCGAGAAACATCTGGATAGTAATGAGAATTACACCGAAAATAACTTTACCCCTACAATATGAAAAGAGGACTACCTTCAAAACGTAAGTGCTTTCCACTGAGCAATTTAGTGGCGCTACTGAATTTTCCATTCCACCTCTTTCTTGTCTTACTTTTCGTCTTCTCAGACATATCCAAATAACCAAGTTTTGGTAGGCTTCCGTATGCAGCTCGTTCTTCACCTTGAACTCCGCCAACTACCGATTCTAATCATCATTGTACATGTTGTGCAGCACGTAGTGAAATAGCCCTTGATCCACCAGCAAGCGTCCAGTATCGATCTGTATGACTAGCGACAGCGACAACAACTCTTGGGTGAAACTCTGGTGCTTCTCGACGAAATGTTTTAAAAATTTCACTTTTTAACGTTCTTAAAAAATTGGCTTTTATACCATGGTGTTGTGTGAGTTGTTTGGTGGGATCTTCGTGTGCCATATTAGAACACTAATAATATATTTAACCGAAGGACAATAAATAACTAAATTGATTTGCGAAACCTATTTGTAGAGATCAATTTGTTTTTTTTTTTTTTTTTTTGGTCAAATGATAGATTTTGTTAGATTAGCCACTGACAGAATTCAAACCCATGCAGTCATAGAAGGGCTCAACACCTTTCTACTACTATGATAAAGGGGCGCTTGCTCAAATTGTTGAATTTTCTATTTTAAAGATCATTTTAATTGAAAGGTCCAATTTCAAAAACCAACCGTGATAAAACCCAAAATTTAACAATGCATGCAACCTGTATATAAATTAGAAACTCTTAACAAAAAATCATTTAAATTACACCCAACACCATTTCACATCTTTTAGAGAACTAATCCATCAAATAGCTTTTTTCTTAATACGAGCGATAGAATAGGGAGAGAGGAATCAAACTTGGTATCCTTTTCATTAATTCATCCTTTAATTTTTACATGAGAAATTTTATTTGAACCCATCTAACCTCTTTTTACATCTAACTTACTCTTTACACCCACATTATTTTTTATCAAACAATCAATATCTCTTTAAACCCAAATTTACTACCTAAACTATCCTCACAAACCCAATCACCCATTTGAAAAATAAAAACCAAAATCAAAACATTCTCTCATTCCAACAATTGCTTTTGATGGAGCCTCTATTACCATCTATAGCATTGCCCTCGATAAATCTTAGGTTGCTTTGCATGACCATGTCAAACAAGCTGTCCGCTCTAAACTACCCTCTTGCAATTATTGTGGCTTCTCCAACTTACTCGCTAGTGTGTGCATATATTTAAGTTAAGAGTTCACCGCGTTTGTACAGAAAAGCCTCATTGAGTTTGAATTTTATCCAACTGTTGTAACATTCTTGGTAGGCTGCAGAAACAATACTAATGAACTTAACAATTTTTTATTATCTTTTCGATTTATTAGTCTGCATGGATTTTATACGAGCTATATGTAGAACACGTTCAGATTTGGAAGATTGATGTATGTACAACATTAATTTGCATAATTCTTACTGGCGAAGAAAATTACGGTTCACGAGAAACTTGAAAGATTAGCGAGACGAAGAAACATGAACTATTGTGATGTCAAAGAAAGAAGTATTAAAACACAAGGAAATTGAAGCATAAAAATATGGATAAATTAAAACCAAAGCTAACATTTATTTAATCTAAAGGGGCGAGTGCGCAGTAGTGGGAAGAACCGGTAAAACACAAGTGTTCCGAGCATAGATGACATAAAAGTGTGCAGTTGAAACTAGTTGAAGTGCTTATTACACAGCAGGAAAAGCTCTTACATTTATTTAGGGGTATGTCAGAACCGCCAAATATTTCTCGTACGCCACAGAGTGATCAACTAACTAGGACCTGGATGGGTGAAAAACAGAAGGGTGAGTGGGCAAAAACAAAGGTTTATAAAACACATTTATTTTTTGAACGTAACCCCTTACTATAAAGCCTATATAGTTTCTAGAAAATCATACTACGTATAAGTATAAAAGCAAATGTAAATCAACAATAAATCCAAAAATACGCCAAATCAAAATATCACAACAGTAGCATAATAAAATCAGGTGCTCATCAATCTGACACACGAGTTCATGCAGAGGATTCTGACATGAACAAGAATGGGTGTAATCATAATATATGCTCTAGTGCTACAATCACGTGAAGACTGGCGCTATTTGCAGTCACATATGAGTCGGAGTTGCCTATTGCAACCTTTACGACAGGATTGGCACCTACTTGGATCCGAGTCGAGCGTGCAGTGCGGATATGAACATACACGTGAAAGACTGGCCCTGGTCCTTGGCAAACACTAACACCGGGTGCAACAATGTATGATGAGTAGTACATGAACATGCCATGATAGTATATAAATCTCAATCACGTAATAACATTTCTAAAATTAAATAAAACATGGCATGATAGGCATAAATCAGTACAAAAGCACATGTGAAAACTATGGGTTCAAATAAAATTTCCCTTTTTACATTCTCTTTTACCAACTTCTTCATCTCTCATGTCCCACACATACTATCTCAAGCATAAAAAATAAAACTAAAATCCAAAAGCAAAACAATTATCATCCGAGCTCTTAACTTTCAGCATTATTACTCCTCCCATGTTAAGTATAACTACAAAGGAGCCTTTAAGGGAAGGGATCCTCATTTTTCTTTAAAAATAGTATTTAGTTGTGGAGCCCACACCACATCGAACTTCAACTATCCGAACTATCTATTTTCAAGTTGGACCTCATAGATCATCCTTGCAAAATATTAAACAAATCACAAATATTTGAGACATTTAATTGAGTTCAAAGAAGTAGTTGTTCTTCCCTGTCTGTTATTGGCCGTTGATTATTGGCTGTTGGTTGTTGCTTCTTCGTTGTCCCTAAGTGGCATAAAGGCCGGGGCTTAAGCCCCATGCAAATAGGTTTAATGACCTTACTTGGTGTACACGCATTTCCGGATAGAAATCAGTAGAAATCATGATCTTTTGATTCGAAAAGTCGAAGAAGCAAGGCACTGAACGATAGTGAAATGAAGAAGTAAACCATGCAAAGCGGGGTTACGCAGTAGGGAGAGGTTCTGAACAAAGAAAGTGAAGAAAGGTTGCGAGGTCAATCAATTAAGTGGAGATGCGGACACCCGGAAGAAGAACGAACCCCTTCTTAGTTGGTTCATACCGATCAGATTGCCCCGGTTTGCTTTCACAGTGAGTTGAATGAAGTCTGCTGACTGCTGGATCGATTCGAATATCCCTACCTAGGCCCATACCTTCCTTTTGCTTGTAGTGATTGATTTAAGGTAGGATCGTGCCAATATCAAAACACTTTATTTTATAAGGAATAATGAAATTTCATCGTGATAATTAATTAGGCAAATAGTTTTAGATTAAATTGAATTTTGCAAAGATGATCTATGAATCAAGACTTACAAAATAGATTGTTCACATCGTTGAAGTATTATAACTTTTAGAGATATAATACTTTTAGAGGAATCACATCGTTGAAGTATTATAACTTTTACAAAATAGATTGTTCACATCGTTGAATTTTGCAAATCACACGGGCCATTAAAATTTGATCCAATGACTGCAACTATTATAACTTTTAGAGGGATCCCCTATTTGTAGCCGCTAAATTAAATTTCAATGACCCATGTGATTTGCTCAGGAGGGTTAGCCTCCTAAGCTCATGAGGGGATCCGGTTCCTTCAAAATCCTTTTTCTTTGGGGGGTGAGGGGGATGGCGGCCTTTCCCACGCAGTTCCGCCAGTTACGACAATCGCCGGATAAATAGAACAGGAAAGTACAGAAATAGTCTTGGTTTAGAAACACTCTCCAGCCCTTAACAAACTGCAATTTATCTAAGTAATCGCATCCGATTGCCACTAACTAATCACATCATCTACAATATTTATAAAAGTTACATAACTCTCAAGAAAATAAAAAGGAAAAAACAGTAAAGTAAAATAATAATGCGTTTATATTATACAGATAGCTAGGGAACAAAAAGGGAATATTAAAAAAGAAACATTTATATATAGAATACTAATTCAACTTAGAGGACAGTCTGATTAGGAAAATCTATGTAATGTATTACCCTGCAACGAAGATAACAAGAAAATCAACTCCTCGTCTCGGCCGTCGTATTCTACCTGATTTCTCAGCCGATGATAACTAGCCACAACATCGTCCGACAACACCTTAGTCCTGCAAAGTGGACAGGTGGCCCAATACTGTTGCAGCCACTTGTCAAGGCAATCCTGGTGAAATGTGTGCTTGCATTTCAGCTCCCTAACCTTGTCACCTTCCTCAAAATCCGATAAGCAAACTGAGCATTCTGTGGCCTTCAACTTTTTTGTGTAGCAAATGGTGGGATTCTTTTGCTCTATGAGTTTGAGATACTGTGTGGTGGTGATGACACGTTTGCCTGAATTTGGGTTTAGTCCGGCGACGGAACGGACAAGGACTACGATTTCGAGGATGAGAAGAGTGAAGTAGATGATGAGGTGGGAGATAAATCGAGAGATAGCACCCATCGCTTGGCTGCTGATGATATGATTGATGAAATGAAGGTCAAGTTCCTCCAACGAGACTTATTTTGGCTTTAATTTTGGATATAATATAACAGCGAATGTGGTGTGGGCAGGTGCAGTGCACTGCAGTGCCCGTGTATGGTCACATCTTATGTATCTTTTATATAATTTTGGGATTCTCTTGTACCATTGTCCATGTCATAAGAATGTGTAATTATGGAGATGATACGCTTGGTTCTATGTAAAAACTCTGGATTGAAACGCTCCCCACCCCCCAATTGGAAGAAAAATATACTGAAGTTAAAAAGAGCGTTTCTCACTTGCCATCTAATACAAATTTAATCCAAATCTAATATGTTTGCATAATAAACGAAGTTAACCACGGATACGCCTGCAAGTGACCGTTTATCGCCGTGGTAGAATAGAGTTGAGACTTTGCATGATGACATGAGTTTGAATCCGATCGGTGACTAATCTAATATCTAATTTAACAAAATTTATTATTCGAAAAAAAAAAAAAAAAAAAAAAACCTACGGAGACGCCTTTTCTATCCGAAGCTACGAAATCATGCATGTTGTGCAAGTTCATGGGCTACGTTGTCATTGACATTCAATCCCCCTTAAGCCTTTTCGTCAACATCAAAACCATTAGTTCCACCAAATCTCCATCTGCTCCCCAGCAACCCTCAAGACTCTTGTTTATATTTCCAACTGACTAGTCCATCTCCTATATTACCTTGCTGAACCCGAGGTCAGTCAAACTAATGTTATTTGGAACAAGCTTATATTGTAAAATAAGTTCTTAAGCAAGGAAAAAAAATACACAGTATTTAAAATTAAAGCTTTCTTTTTGTTTTGCTTTTTTTTACTTGTACAACTAATGACTCATATTAGTTAAGGGAAATGAACTCTGTACTTTTTTTCTTTCTTCCGTGCATTCTCTTGCTTACTAAGAATTAAGAGACATAAATAAATATGGGTGTTCAGAAAAAAAAAAATGTGAAGAAATCATTTCATAACCTATACCAAATGAAACGAAATTATTTTACTTACAATTATTTTTTATCAGACAAGTAGTAGATCAAAAGTTTGTGTCTTGTTTGATGATGATGTTTGTACAACAAAGAGTTGTTAACGTTACAAGTTGTGTGAATTCCAACACCAAATTATTATGCTGGATAATGATACCTTTGCACAATAATAATAATTATGTAGTAATGTGATGTGAATATTTTCTGTATGACAATGGCGCACCATAGTGTTATTGCTGATGTAGCATTCTAGCTAATTCATTCAAACTATATAATATATAGATTTATAAATACAAAATTTTAAAAAGTGTAATCCCGTGTTATAATTGAATAATTTAGAATATCATATTATCACATCAGTATATTACATGATGTTACAACAATACATAAAATAAAAAACTTCGGTATAATATCAGTGTGGAGTCAAAAGTAATCACAAGACGACACGTGGATTATTGGGTAAAAAGGACAAAATTACCCTCGAGGCACACCAGGATTCCTACGCGTGAGCAGTGGGCAATTATCCCTCATCCAAGTCAAAAGTGCCCAAAATAGGTAACAATTCAAAACCTATTTCATCCATCCTCATCAAATCTTCTCCACAAGGTAAGTCCCAAATCATTCATCTTTATTATATTAATTAGCTAATCAATTAGGAAATTATTCTATTAATTTGCTAATTAATTGATTTATTATTCAATTATTCCTAATTAGCTACAAATCATGAACCTCATCCAAAATATCAACCAAGTGGCCGGTCCTCCTCCTCTTTAAGGGACCGGTCACACCCCTATAAATACTACCTCATTCTCTCCAAAACTCAATTCCAATTCTCTTGCTAAACTCTTTAAATTCTCCGAACACTTTTCCCTCAAAATTCTAACTTTGGCATCAGAGGTTCTTCAGCCAAAGCCTCCCCGCCCTATTCATCATGGGCGCGTGAGGCTCTTAGTCTTGACCTAAGGTGTTATTTGTTTTGTAGGTGCAATTTTGTCCAAGAGCAAGAAGGAAGAAATTTGCATCCACAAATTTGGTGCTTTCATTTAGAGTTGAGTCCAACACTCGTAAAAGACTCTCAGATCCAAAGTTTTCTATTTTCTTGTCCATTTGTAGATTTTTTGTCCATTCATATTTTTAGAATTTTTTATTTGCAAAAATTCTTTGGTAAAACGTAAAAGAAAAGTACAATGGCAAGATATTTGGAAACTTTAACGAATGAAAATTCCAATGTTCAAGAGATAGGACCATGGTGATCCATAAGGCTAAACGTGGCAATAAGTTGAGTGGCACCACCATCATGAGGCTCCACCATGGCAACCGCCGCGGTGGCCACCACGGTAGCCACCCACGGCGAGGTCCATGGTGCTACACCATGGCCCAAGCTGTGTCATCCAAAGCCCACGGCACCAAGGCCACAACCCAAGCCGTGTCATTCCAAGTGTAAGGCAAACCGGCCCCTGCTGCTTAAACCCGACGCGAACCCAACGAGTTGCCAAGCCGAGCCCTAGCCTCGCACCCACGTGTGCCACACGCTGAGTAGCCTATTCCTGTGGCATAGCCTGCTTTCGCCGAGCAGCCCGCCCTGGTGGCCCAGCCTGCTCCCGTCGAGCAGCCACTCCCGTGGCCCAACATGCTCTTACAGCCAAGCCTGCTTCTGTGGCCTTCCAAGCAACCCAAGTCAGCCCAAGATTATCTCAACCATCCGGACCTACCATCAAGCCGGGGGCATTTTCACCATGTTTCCCTACGGATTTGACATTTCCAAACTCAAATCACACGTCCGGAGTCTACCACCCTTCCACTGCTCAAGGAAGCACATTCCTTCCAAGTCTTCCAACCCAAATGGAGAACAACACTTGTCTCGACAAGTCATAGAGTTGATGAACGCCCTTGCAAAGCAGACCACCTTGGTGCATCAGCTCTTGCAGCACACCAAGATGCAACTTACCCCAGACGAGGTGTCCTAAAGAAGGACAAGGGTAAATGAAAAACCTCTCCAATAACATCCTGGCAAGCAGCCACTCGACCAGCCACAAACTGAGCTTTCTAGCAGTGTATACTCCCGTCTTAGCGTATGAAGGAGCGTGCACTCTCGGTTAGGCCTATGGACGAGCATACGCTCACGGTTGAGACCACATTCCGATATCAACATGAGCAACCTTCCAGGCGAAATGTTCATTCGCGGTTAAGTCCACAAGGAATATCATTTACCTCACATCAGAGTAAACAGCACGACAGACAGAGGTAAGCAGTCACTCAATCCAGCTCAAGTTTAATCGGCAGCCTACGAAGAATTCCCTCACCTGCCATGAATGAACCATATGCACCGCTGTCGTGGTATAGACGAGCCAAGCACGTAGAAGAGCAGCCTAGACCAGTAGGTCAAGACCGGGGGCAGCCGAGAACTCCACTACCCCCAACAAAGGCAAATTCAGGAAGAAGTATAGAGACTTTTGACCAAGCAATTGCGCGATTTCCAACACTACGAGGTCACCAACGAGGCACTACGACGGGACATGACCAACATAAACAGGTCACCCTTCATAGATAAGATCGAGCAGGTAGAGCAGCCTTCCAAAAAGGACTTATAGTAGACCACCCGTTGTTCGAAAAATTGATCATCTAACTTTGGCAAACTTTTACGCTTTGACAGATAAGTATGCACTTTGGGACAAGGCTCACCGATCAAGATGCTAGGTTTTTGAAAAAAAAAACCTTACATCAACTCCCTACTATCCAAATCGGAAGTAGCAGATGACCTATTCACATGTTTGAAGGTATCTAAAGTAGCAATAAGCTCTACCATCATACGAGAAGAGCTAGGGGCCCAACTACCTGTATTCCACAGTTTAAAAGCTTTCATCAATGTTACCAGAAATTCAAAAGCTAACTTTGGCGATAATTATTGCAACCCGGAAGCTCAAGTTTTACCTTTAGACACACACAGTCATCCTCACGACGCACTATTCCACCTAATCCAGACGCGTGACGATAAAGGCATAAACACTAGCAGATGCAAATTTTTTTGACAAACGCAACCACTCAGCCCAAAAGGTGCGCCAAGGGCAGACGAACACTAAAAGGACACTTGGAAGCAAGTCTTATCCTCATCGCCCCAAAAGATTCTATATAGGAGCAACATGTATCAGCAGTTGAACACCACTTCTTGCTATGTGTCACATAGCCCCAACCGACCCTTGCTCCATAATTCAACTTTAAAGTGGCCCAATACCAGTAGTTGAGCATCTCCTGCTACGTGTAACATGGCCCCAGCTCCACGGCTCCCTACCACGCCTTCACAATGCAACTGGGCAACCTAACAATGGCTCTACAACTCCCTATTGCGCCTTCACGCCTAGCCTAGATAACGCAACAAAGTTGCCCAACGATGCCCTGTAGGTAGCCGAGCACGCCTTAGCCGCGCCTGCTCCACCCAATAGAGACTTTTGGACTTTGTATGTCGTTAGCGCATCCAACTACAATGGTTTGGGAGCAGGCGTGGTCTTTGTCACCCTAGACAATTTGATGCCCTATTAGTCAATCACTCTAGGCTTTAAAGCATCCAACAAGATGATCCTCGACTGCCTCAAGAAATCCCTCATTGACAAGAAGGGAAAATGGCCAGACGAACTCCCAGGATGTATGTGGGCATATCGCACCACCAAAAGACAAGCAACTGAACAGTAAAGAGATGGCCACAAGCTTAAATCTGGCAGAGGAGAAGGGCGAATAGACCATTACTCGCATCGCAGCCTACCAGCAGTAGCTCATCTTCAGCTACAACAAAAGGACCAAGATTCAATAGTTCCAACCTGGAAATCTAGTCCTAAGAAAAACCTTCATCACTGCCCATAAAGATAGCTCCAAAAAGATGGATCCCATCTAGGAAGGTTCGTACAAGATCAGCAAAGTAGGCGACAAGAGTAGCTACACCCATGCTACCAAGAACAAAAAAGAGATAAAAAAGTAGTGAAACGCCTACAATCTGAGGAAGTACCATGTGTGACCTCCTACTACATCGAAGCCCGAAGACTCAAGCAGCTTGACGGGCACTACCTCACAAGCCAAGGACTATCTAGTTGTTATGCAGTTCCTACCTTACAGCTGAGTTC